GACAAGATGAAGATACCCCGAACAAACCCCTCAAAGGATTACTTTCTATAGTAACAAGTAACAGTAAATATCAGCATATTATATAAATTTTCCTTACCAAATTCCACCTACCAAGGGCGCTTCACTCCCCGGCAATGGCGCCAAAAAAGAGTCTTGATGACCCACAAGTGTAGGGGATCTATCGTAACTTTTCAATAAGTAAGAGTGTCGAACCCAACGAGGAGCAAAAGGAAATGATAAGCAATTTTCAGTAAGGTATTCTCTGGAAGCACTGAAATTATCGGTAACAGATAGTTTTGTGATAAGGTAATTTGTAACGAGTAGTAAGTAATAAAAGTAAATAAGGTGCAGCAATATGTCCCAATCCTTTTTGTAGCAAAGGACAAGCCTGGACAAACTCTTATATGAGGGAAAGAGCTCCCGAGGACACATGGGAATTATCGTCAAGTTAGTTTTCATCACGATCATATGATTCACGTTCGGTACTTTGATAATTTGATATGTGGGTGGACCGGTGCTTTGGTGATGTCCTTATTTGGACAAACATAATACTTATGATTAACCCCCATTGCAAGCATCAGTAACTACAACAAAAGTATTAAGGTAAACCTAACCATAGCATGAAACATATGGATCCAAATCAGCTCCTTACGAAGCAATGCATTGTAACATCCCAAAAATTTTCAAATTTTGGAATGTTAATAATAAGATACTATTGATTGAATTGCTTTGGTTTTCAGGAGAAACGAAAACCTTTTGAGTCCGTGTTTAAACTTTTTTTTTCTCACACCATGTTGGATAACATTTCCATCCAATAAGAAAACTATGGTTGAAAGTTTATTCAATAATTTAAAGTGGCATTCATTTCTTTTGACTCATTTGAAATATTCTGAAACCATATTAAATACTATGGAGTGAGAATAAAATGACTTTCTCAAATGTGGTGGATAAAAATTTCATTTGAGGTTCTTTGATATTGGAGTTCCATTTGCAATTAGATCTTATTTGAAAATTTAATGCGATTCAGATATTTCCAAATTAACAAATAAATTTAATGAGAGGATATAATGCGACTTCTCAAAAAAATATTTGGAAATACAATTATCTTTTTGTGAATTTGCAAAACTCAAAATTCATTTTTGAGTAAATCAATTATGTCCATAAAGCATTAATAGTAGTTGTGCACAAAATATATTTTTCTTAAATTTTGAAACTAATTTTTGTGGAATCTAAATAATATTTACACTAATGTAAACATTTTTATTATTTGTTTTAAGTAAACTTTTTGCGAACGTACTTATGTACGTAATTATATTTCAATCCTAATTCCTAAACTCTAGCTCGACCCGGTCCATTCTCTCTCTCTAAATCTCGCACAGGCGTGAGGCAACAACACATCACAGCCCACCTTGTTTATTTTCCTTGCCTTTTTCCTTTGGGCCAATTTCTCCCACTAAGGCCCATACCAATCGATGGTCATCTTCCTCTCGTCGTTCACCAACAGAAACAGAGAGCAACAGCCTGGCGTGCCAGATCCCCACCCCGCACCCCACCCTCCCCTCCTCTCCCTCGCCCTAAAACCGCTCTGAACGGATCCCCCACTCCGCCCCGACTCTTTCTCTTCCGTTACCCACAATAAACCTCGCCCTAATGACCATTACCACACCAGAAACGGCTGCCATTGATGCCTTAATATTGAAGATGCGCCGCTCCGTTTCGGCTCTCTGCTATGGTATAAAAGGGGGGCCCAAGGAACCTCTATTCGCCCTGCATCTCCCAGTCCACGAACCCCTCTCCAACGCCCTTCGATTCCCGAGCAATTGCTCGTCGGAGTCGAGGCCGCCGTCTTCTTTCATTGAAGCTCACGACCTCTCCAGCGAGACCCTTGCTCTCAAACTCCTTACCTGGACGAGTTGTTTCCGTGCGAATTTTTCTGACAATTTGTTTTCCGCAAGCACCAAGCCAGAGCACGACCTCCGCGAAGAACGCAACTGACCGGAGCTCCATACTGAAAGTTGGAGAAGGAATAGACCACACCTGGGCCTTTCCATTACGTGTTAATTATATAGACAAGTATATGCAATCCTACCTAATCTTACCATAAATGGGAGATCACAAATATTCGATTCTCCTCGATTTAGGCGATTAGGATTATATCACGATCCCGTGATATATTAGTCTAACACTCCCCCGCAGTCACAACGGAAGGAGAGCGGACGTTGAGACTGGACCGAAAATCCAGAAACAACGGTGACGGGAGACCCTTCGTGAGGATGTCGGCGAACTGGCGAGACGACGGAACATGCAATACACGCACTTGCCCCAGGGCAACACGATCACGAACGAAGTGGAGGTCGATCTCGATGTGCTTGGTGCGCTGATGCTGGACAGGGTTCGTCGACATGTAGACGGCACTGACGTTGTCACAAAAGACAATCGTGGCGGTCGGTGAAGGGCGATGGAGCTCGTGGAGAAGCTATCGAATCCAGCTGGCCTCAGCTACGGCGTTGGCCACAGCTCGATATTCAGCTTCGGCACTAGAACGAGACACCGTATGCTGGCGTTTTGACGACCAAGAGACGAGGTTATCACCAAGAAATACGCAGAAGCCCGAGGTGGAACGACGAGTGTCAGGGCATCCAGCCCAGTCTGCGTCGGTGTAGGTGATCATGGAATCCGACGATGTAGAGTAGAGTTGGAGGCCATGAGAGAGTGTGCCCTTGATGTAGCGCAAGATACGCTTCATGGCCGCAAGGTGTTGTTCACGAGGATCATGCATGTGGAGGCAGACCTGCTGAACAGCATAGGCAATATCGGGGCGCGTGAAGGTGAGGTATTGCAATGCCCCAGCAAGACTCCGATACTCTGTCGGATCTGCCACAGGAGGGCCAGCGGTGGCGGCGAGCTTGGGTGACGTGTCAACCGGTGTCGTCGCGGACTTGCAGGCAGACATGCCGGCCTTGTCCAGAATCTCCGCGGCGTACTTGGCTTGCGAGAGATGCATGCCACAGGAGTCGCGGGTGACCGCAATGCCGAGAAAGTAGTGGAGACTGCCCATGTCCGTCATGGAAAACTCGGAGTGGAGGGAGGCTGTGATCCTGTCGAGAAGCCGGCTCGACGACGCGGTGAGCACAATGTCATCCACGTAGAGTAGGAGGAAGGCCGTGCCCGCCTCACACCGGAGAACAAACAATGAGGTGTCGGACTTCGCGCACGTGAAGCCGGTAGAGATGATGAAGGCCGCGAAGCGCTGGTACCATGCGCGGGGTGCCTGCTTGAGACCGTATAGGGAACGGTTCAAGCGACATACATGGTGAGGACGCGTAGAGTCGATGAAGCCGGTGGGTTGTCGACTGTAGACGACCTCGGAGAGAGTGCCATGAAGGAAGGCGTTCTTGACGTCGAGTTGGCGAGTCTCCCAATTGAGGGAGAGGGCGATGGAGAGAATAACCCGCACCGTCGCCGGTTTGACAACCGGGCTGAAGGTCTCATCGAAGTCAACACCTTGCTCCTGAGAGAAACCACGAAGCACCCAACGAGCTTTGTAGCGATCGAGAGAGCCATCCGGTTTGAGCTTGTGGCGAAAGACCCATTTACCGGAGACGACGTTCGCATTCTTGGGAGGAAGCACAAGATCCCAAGTATTGTTCATGTGGAGAGCGCCATACTCCACGTTCATGGCATCTAGCCAATTAGGGTCCTTGAGAGTAGCACGGACTGACGTGGGAACCGGAGAGTACCTGTTAACAGAAGTAACATGCAGGTTAAGCCGCTCGCGGGCGGCCACATGGATGCCAGAACGGCTGCGTGTGCGCATGGTATGCGAGGGTGCAGGCGAGGGCGCGCGTGTGCGTGACCGGCCACGCGTAGGTGGGGGTGCATCAGTGGCTACAGAGGCCGCCGGTGGCTCAGGAACAGCAGTAGGCTGCTCAGGCGCTGCTACAGGCTGCTCAGGTGCAGACGCAACGAGACGAGCAGGAGAGTGTGGCATAGGAGGTATGACGATGGGTGGGAGGTCATCAAGAAAATCATAGGAGGCTGCAGGAGTTGGCTGCGAGGAGGCAAAGGGAAATGAGTTTTCGTCAAACACAACATGGCGAGAAATGATTACGCGGTGTGTGGCAAGGTCCATGCAACGGTATCCCTTGTGGTGAGAAGAGTAACCAAGAAAAATACAAGCGCTGGAACGAGGGGACAGTTTGTGTGCCATGGTGGATGCGGTATTGGGGTAGCATAGACAACCGAAAACGCGAAGGGATGAATAGGATGGATGGGTGTGATATAGTGCAAAATATGGGGAGGGTGCGTTGATGGTTTTTGTGGGTAGGCGATTGAGGACGTGAGTGGCTGTATGTAGGGCTTCGACCCAAAACTGTGGCGGTAAGCTGGCCTGAAATAGGAGAGAACGCACAATGTCATTAACCGTGCGGATGATACGTTCAGCTTTCCCGTTCTGTTGAGAGGTATATGGGCAGGAAAAACGAATGTGTATGCCGTGTGTGGCGGCAAGGGAGTGGAGCTTTTGGTTGTCGAACTCACGTCCATTGTCGCATTGGATGGACATAAGGGTCAGGTTGAACTGAGTATGCACAAATGCACGAAATGAAGAGAGCGTGGCATAAGCTTCAGATTTTTGGTGTAGAGGAAATGTCCACAAAAAATGTGTAAAATCATCAAGAATGACTAAGAAATATTTAATTCCTGAAATACTCAAAATCGGAGATGTCCAAAGATCACAATGAACTAGCTCGAAGGGCCGAGTCGTGCGACTAGAAGAAGAAGAAAATGGCAGCCGAACATGGCGCCCTAATTGACAAGCATGACAAAGAGAACTGTCTTTTATTTGTTTAGTACATGGAAGAGAAACATGCTGTATGAGGCGACAAAAAGCGTCGTGTCCTGGATGGCCAAGGCGACGGTGCCAAACGTCCGGAGTGTCGGTGACGATAGCGAAAGCACGGGGTGGCGGTGGCCGTGTGAATGGATAAAGCTCCCCCGTACTATTGCACCGAAGAATCTCGCGCCGGGTGGGAAGGTCCTTCACAGAAAAACCGAGAGGGTCAAACTCAACTGAACAATTATTATCAGTGGTTAATTGACGAACTGAAATCAGGTTTTGAATTATACGCGGTGAGACTAGAACATGGTGTAAATGAAGTGGACGATTTGGAAAAAGAGAAGGGAGAGTGGCATGGCCTGAAGTGGAGACAGGGAGAGTGGAGCCGTCTCCAACAACGATATGACGAAAAATAGGATGTGGGGATAGAGAGGAGAGAGTACCAGGGTCAGACGAGAGGTGAGCCGTGGCGCCTGTGTCCATGATCCACTCGTGAGGAGGGGGTTGCAGCGTCATGGTGTTGAATTGCTGCGCAAGAGCAGATGGGTCCCATGTCGGCGTAGGTGCTCGAGGCGCGGGAGCTGCACCATAGGAAGCTGCACCGTAGGGAGCGCCGCCAGACTGGTACGCCTGGCCATGGGCTACACCGTAGTCGTGGTAGAGGGACGTCGGCGTGGCCGGAGGCGCTGCCATGTAGGCATGAGCGCGAGGTGCGCCAGGGCGAGGCCCGAGGATGCCGCTGCCGGGCTGCTGCATGGGCCACATCTGGATAGCTCCAGTCCAGGGGTTGTAAGGCGTCGGCATGAGGTTGCCGGCGTTGCCGGAGCCACCGGACGGCTTCGAGCCGTAGCCACCATTGGGCTTTTTGCCCTTGTTCTTGCCGTAACCCGAGGCGCCATGATTAGGGTTTGCGGGTGGCCTCCATGGCTGGCCGCCGGCTGCACCCTGCGAGCCACCAGCGTGTCCAGGGTTGCCCTTGGCGGAGTAGAAGGCAGAGGCGGAGGAGTTGGTGGTGGAACGACGTGCCGCCTTCATCTCGTGGAGGAGGAGCATGTTCCGAAAGTTGAGGAAGGTCGGGAACGGCGTCAGGAGCGGGGCGATGTCAGCCACGCTGTCGAAGCGCTCGTGAAGGCCCTTGATGATGTTGGTGACGAGGTCGGTGTCGGAGACGGGAGAGCCGACCTCGGCGAGGGCGTCGGCCGCCGTCTTTTGCAGATGGAGATACTCGGTGACAGACCGGTCACCCTGCTTGATGCTGCGGAACTCCTCAGCGAGGTAGATCTCGCGCGTCTTCTTGTTGTCGTTGAAGAGCGCGTCGACGGCGGTCCAGACCGTGTAGGCGGTGGCGTCGGCCTTCATGACGAGATCGACGATGTCCAGCGCCATGGAGCCGTACAGCCAGCGTAGCACGGTAGCGTCGAGGCGAAGCCATGTGGGATCGGACGGGGCCGTCTCCGTGGTGAGGTGGTCCTCGAGGGCGTAGGTCGTCACAGCGATGTTGAAGAAGCAGCGCCACTTGGGGAAGGATGGCACCTTGAAGTCGAGGATGACTGGGACGAGAGAGCGGACGCTCTGGATGGCCGTGGCCTGCGCCCATAGGTGGGCGTTGGGGTGGACCTCCGCCTCGGTCGTGGTTTTCGGGTCGGACGGCGCCATGCAAGACGGTGGAGAAGAGAGGCCGGCGGCTGGAGCTGGAGTAAGGTAGAGGAAGAGCAGCGGAAACGATCAAGATCGATCGCAAACTGATACCATGAAAGTTGGAGAAGGAATAGACCACACCTGGGCCTTTCCATTATGTGTTAATTATATAGACAAGTATATGCAATCCTACCTAATCTTACCATAAATGGGAGATCACAAATATTCGATTCTCCTCGATTTAGGCGATTAGGATTATATCACGATCCCGTGATATATTAGTCTAACACATACAACTCCGGCGATATCTCCACGACACTCGAGGAAGGAGACGAGCACCTATCTGTGTCCCTTGGGACCGCCTCATCGACCTCTACACCGTCCAACCGTTCAATGACGTCGGGGGCTTTCTTCTCGAACTCCGGCAAAACTCCGGCGAACTCTCACGATGAGCACCCGGCCATTTTTTTCCTCAAGCGTGTTCTTATATGAAGAGGTATCAATCAATCAGAAGTGGCCACATGGCAGCTCAATGATAATCCCGTAATTCAATTTTCAGAAAAATATCCAAACTTTAGAAATTCGTATCTCCCAAACCGTACGTCCGATTTTGATAAATAAGATATCCCCGGATTCGTTGAAACCTGTACATTTTTATGAAATTATAAAATCTCACTTTTGCGCAAATTAAAATTTAGTTTTGATTTAAATGTTAAGATGAGTATTTTTACTATATCTTTTATTCTGTAATTCATATAAAAATGTTTTATATATGAAAGTTGGACCTTAGGACCTCACCATTCTGTTAGAACTCATAGAATAATGTTTTCAATGATGTTTAGTCACTGTTTTAGCATCATCACCTTAATTTGACTTTCTTTAATCATAATTTAATAACTTTATTAGATTGAATTTGATTCTTCAGTAGAAATCCTTAGATAGATGAGAACTCTCTGGTCATTCGATATCACCACAAAACTTTGAAGTTACAAGATTAAGGATTTAATCCTTTTATCTCGAAACTTATGCCATGCCAGTTTTATTTAACCCAAGTCAAATATTCCAAATAATCTCATGATAGAATTGTCTCACAACCCATCTGCTATATCAAACCAAGATCTTCACTTAGTATCACTTGATCCAACCCTAGGATATGACTATGTCATGTCTCGTTTAAGACCAAACTTGATTCTATCTCAAACCATAGCCACGTCCTGCTAATTATCCTACGAATGTATTTATTGTGAATTTGTATTTTTTATTTGGATCTTCATTTGCAATTGTTGTGTGTTAAATTATTTTCTTGTATCGTTAGATATATCGTAAGGTGAAGGAGAGACGACTCGAAGTAGAATATATCAACTTCAAGAATCAGGGAAGTTGCAAATTTGATCATGCTCTGACCTATATTTTTATATTATGCATATCTCTTTGAATTTAAATAATATGCATGTTTTACAAAAGTTTTACAAATTATTATTACTAGCTAGAGCCATAGGTTCAAGACTTGTAAACACGCTTGGGCACGCTTGCATAAAATGGGTGGGATGAAAACAAAAATTGTTTTAAACCTCTAAACCTGCCCTCCTTTGGGGCAACATTTTGTGAAAACTTTTGAAAGAACACCTATATACTATTTTACTTCTACTCCCTGGGCGGAATGGTATTGACGGTAGCGTCTACAAGTGATTGCGCTCATCGGAGTCTTGCAGTGAATGCGCCCGACTGGGGTCTTGCATGCAGGTTTTTGGTGGGGATTGCCGTCCAGGGGACTGAGATCTTCCAAGTACGGTTTGATGTAGCTTCCAGTACAGCCACATGCTACTATGGGCTCTGGCTTAGCTTAGTACTAACGGGAAACCCTACCCCAGGACCGCCATCGGAGAGAGGCCTTCATGCCGAAGTTGCGGGCGGCTTGGTGGTATAGGGGGCTGTTACGGAAAGGCTTCGTCACAACCTCCTCCTAGTCGTACACCCAAGTGTGTAACGATAAACGGGGTTGGTTGTGTCATGTGGGAAACGTGTACGACATCTGCAGAGGGTTAAACCTGATCGATTAGTCGTGCCCCCGGTTACGGGCAATTTTGAGCAACTGAAGACTTGGACTGAAGAAGAATCTCCCCTCTCTTTTTCTAAAAATCTGTTTTAAGGGTTAAAGTTGAGGAATGAGCACAGTGAATGTGTTTCACCTCAACCTTATGTATGTTTTAAAATTATTTTGGAGACTGAGCACTGGTGCGTATATCCAAGTGTCTCACTCCTACTTTTTATACTAAAAATTATTTCTATTCCAAAGTAGTTTATAAAATTTAGTATATGAGAAAATTGGCTTTACGCAAATGAAACCTCCACAATTCTTACGCTGCATATATATTCTGTTAAACTTTCCTTTGCAACTTGCGAGTACATTCCACGTACTCACCTGCACTTGTCATGTGCAGATCTTGACATATTAAGAGACGATAGGGTTATGGTCTACACTCAACGAGCCCAGTGGCGTTGATGGAGCCTAACTTAGTGACTACGTATTATTCCGCTGTAGTATCTGCCAGCTTGAGTTGTGCCTAAGGTATGATTTATATATATCTGGATCTACCGTTGTAGTAGAATGATGTATGTCTTACTAATATTCATTTTTGTTACTGTGTGTGCTAGCTATGATCCAGGGATAGCACAGTAAGCACAGAGACTTGGATTCTACCAAATCCAGGTCATTACATGCATAAACTTGGGTTTAAGCTTCTGCCACTCTAGCAACCCATCATCTACTTATTACTTCCCAATGCCTCCCTCTAGGCCCAAACAATGGTGAAGTGTCATGTAGTCGACGTTCACATGACACCACTAGAGGGATGACAACATACATCTCATCAAAATATCGAACGAATGCCAAATTCCCATGACTACTAATAGCAAGACTTCTCCCATGTCCTCAGGAACAAACATAACTACTCACAAAGCATATTCATGTTCATAATCAGAGGGGTATTAATATGTATAATGGATCTGAACATATGATCTTCCACCAAGTAAACCAACTAGCATCAACTACAAGGAGTAATCAACACTACTAGCAACCCACAGGTACCAATCTGAGGTTCAGATACAAAGATTGGATACAAGAGATGAACTAGGGTTTGAGATGAGATGGTGCTGGTGAAGATGTTGGTGGAGATTGACCCCCTCCCGATAAGAGGATCGCTGGTGATGACGATGCTGATGATTTCCCCCTCCCGGAGGGAAGTTTCCCCAGCAGAACAGCTTTGCCGGAGCCCTAGATTGGTTCCACCAAGGTTCCACCTCGTGGCGGCGGAGTCTCGTCCCGAAAGTTTGCTTATGATTTTTTTCCTCGATGAAAGACTCCATATAGCATAAGATGGGCATCGGAGGGCCACCAGGTGGCCCATGAGGTAGGGGGCACCCAGGGGGTAGGGCGCGCCTCCCACCCTCGTGGCTGGTGGATGGCCCCCCTCTGGTACTTCTTGCACTCAGTATTTTTTATATATTATGGAAATAACTTCCGTGAAGTTTCAGGACTTTTGGAGCTGTGGAGAATAGGTCTCTAATATTTGCTCCTTTTCCTGCCCAGAATCCCAGTTGCCGGCATTCTCCCTCTTCATGTAAATCTTGTAAAATAAGAGAGAATAGGCATAAGTATTGTGACATAATGTGTAATAACAGCCCATAATGCAATAAATATCGATATAAAAACATGATGCAAAATGGACGTATCAGCGTGCCTCGCGCGGGGGCTGGGCAGGTGTGTGCATGCGCTGGGCTAGCCTAAGCCACGGACACGCCTCGCCAAAGCCCTGTCACTCCAGATCTTCATCCCCCCTGATCTTCGTGAGGCACCCTCGATTGAGCTCGCGGTTGGCGCACCCCAATAAGTCCGTGCCCCACGGGTACCGTGACATGGTGCGCTAGGCCATGATCATGAGGCCTCGCGCAAGGAAGGATACGGCTCCCGACTGACATCCTAACAATTTCTGCAGCTCTATGGCGCCTCCCGAGGTCAACAGCTCCCGAGCCAGCAACAAGGAGGGCTCCCCAGGTGCCAGAGGGCGCGCCCTCGTGAGACTGGAAACTACCCTGGGCGCATCCAGCTAAGTTATCCCTCTATGTCTATATGAAGCACGAACGCCACAACACAACACAGGAACAATAAACATAATACAAGTGGCATGGAAATTACGGTTCATTACACGCCCTTGCAGGGGCCCCATATTTGTTTCTTGTAATGCAGGAGGAAAGGAAAGGAGGGGCAAAAGCGGCTCCAATGGTGCGGCTACTCACGAGGATCGCCCCCCGGGGCTCAGACGAAGCCCTCCTCGCTCTTCACTGGGGCACGGCGACGGGATGACCCGCAACCGTCCTCGAAGCGAGCCCGACGATGTGGCAGCTGGTCGTAGCCGCCACTGCTGGAACTTTCGCCAGAAGAGGAGCTGCCGTTGCCGAACGAGCCATGGCCGTCGCCAGGGGCGAGTCCACCCTCGTCCTCGTCACGGTCATCGCCAAGGCAGAGCACTTTGTCACCCTCACTGTCTTCAAGGCAGCACCCGGCGTGACGACCATCTTCCCCGAACACCCTCATGAGGAGGGTCGCGACACCATCGTACTTGAAGTGGAGGGTGCACCACCTGCTCAGACCGCGCGCGGGGGCAAACGTTTGCCAGCCGCAGGCCAGGGCTACGTTGCCCGTGACGAAGACCTCCACCACGACCCATGAAGCCTTGCTGTAGCAGCCGTCGTCCTACAGCCAGAGGCCGCTAGGACCCATGGCCGGTAGCTCAAGGGCAAAGGAGCGCGGAAGCAGCAGCCATGTGCCCGTCGGGTTCTCCGACCACACGACGAACTCCGGCAGCACCTCTGCCGAATGGAAGCACGGCCGGGGAAGCCGGGCGACCATGGAGCGCCTCCCTTTATGGACGGTACTGCCGCGCCTTGAGCGGCTCCCACCGCGCGAGGAGACGCTGCCGCGGCTGCCAGGAACGGCGTCGGACCCTGAAGATGTCCGC